AGCTCTAGAGCTCTACGAGCGTCTGATAAAGAATACATATGTACAATAATGTCATTGATAATGTACATTTTCATGTCAAGTCTTATGCAGGGTACATACTGGAACAGTTCACGAGCAATTTGCGAATTTTTCGCGAATAATAATGTGGACGTGACATTATAAAGCAAGGCTTTCAATCCACATACATTTCAAATTCGCGAACAGATTTCTACTTACCGAGCGAACATTGTTCGTTATTGCAAATGAGCTCGCTGCAACATGATTCGCTAAATGTTAGCGAACAATTCGCGAGCAGAACAAGCAAATACTCGTTCAAATGTACGCGTTCTCTTTAGTAGAATCTTTTATAATATTCTCATTCTTCATATTCACCAGTACTTATTATTTTTTTTAAAATAGTATGATTAAAAAGAAATGTCATAAGATAAAGTTAAACGATTTAGAACATACTGGTATTAATCTTTCAATAACGGTATATTTGGAAAAATTCAGATGCATCCAGTGGCAATTCGTGGGAGTGCTACAACTTTCTAAGTTACATACACACTGTAAAGACAGTGCATTTTTATTATTTTTTTATACGAAATAAGAGAATAGGATTGTTGATGATAAAATTAAATATTGCGAGCAAAAATATAAATGATTTGACAAATATATTTGATTCATGATTAATAAATAAATTTGATTAATAATGATTAATAAATAAATTTAAAATCGAGAAAAATTGGGAATGCTACAGTTCCACAGTGCGTACGTATGAGCTGCCTTTTTGTGTCTTTTTCGTAAATTGCTATATTTCGTATAATTGAAATCTGATCAGGTATAGAATGTTGCTCTCTACAATTATGGCTGAAATAAATACAATTTTCGTATTATATTTTTAGTTATATTTTTTATTATATTATTTATATTATGTATTAGTTAGATATGTATATAATTATATTATGCAAATATATTATATAATAAAATATTACATTTTGTACTGCAATATAGTTTATAAGTAATATATTATATGATGTTATTAATAAAATAAAATTTAATATAACTTACTACGCATTTCTTCAGTTTTATTGAATACATAAATTAATATTTTAAAGAAAATTTGATTGTTTCAGCATTTATTTTTATCATTAATTTTTTTCACTACCAATTTTTCTTTTACACAACTTTGTCATTTATACAAATTGGAATTTTCACAATTAAAACTTGTCATTTTTATAATTAAATAAAATTTTGAAATTTTTTTATAAATAAACAAATGAAAATGCGAATAAATAAACAAAGGAAACGGTATAAAATTTATGAAGAAGAATATCTTTTTAATTTTTGTCTTTGGAATTATATAAAAATTTCTTACATATAAAAACTCCTCATTAACTACACAATAAATAAATTAAGTAGTTAAATAATTAAAAAATTGATTAACTTTAATTGATAAAATATTATTCGAATAAAATTTTATATAAATATCGAGAATGAAATATTATTCGACTAATGAACAAAAAAATAAAATAAAAGTTACGAAAAACAAGTTATTTGAAAATAAAAAATAAATTATATTAAATGAGGATATTTAAAAGTTAATTAGCATTAATCAAAATTAGACAATCGCTTATAATAAGCAAAGATGTTTATGAAATTTTACGAAGCTAATTAAAAAAATTAAAAGTAAATTAAATTATTTTGAAAGAAAATTATTTTAACTAGAAAATTTATCTGTTATATGTTATAATGAATATACTTTAAACATTTTATATATGCATTTCTATCTACATTTAAAAATTGTATGTAATTTAAAAAATTTTATCTCTCTGTATGGTTAAAAATTTAATTATATATATAAATTTCTTGCACATAAATTTGTATGAAATATATGAATCATTACTATCTTGAAAAGGGTATCCTTTATCCACTTCATACAATATTGTATCTTTCATTTTTCACCTCTCGGATTCTCAAACGTGATTCTTAAATATTACCTGACGTTTATTTCGAACATATTTATTTACACCAAATAACAAATAAAACTTTATTCTTAAATTCTTAAATAATAAATAAAATTTATTCATAACCAACATTATAATTTCTCTCTAAATAAAATTATTTTTTATTTTGCGTGTAAAGAAATTAGATACATGACAGATTGAACGAGGGAGATATACGCATCAAATGAAAGATGTCGAAATGCGTAAATAAGAAGAATCATAAGTCCCAAAAACGAGGATCCATAGGTTGTCGCAAATCGCAATGTCGTGTCGCAACTTTCCTTGCAACTTGTGAGTCGTAAGGAAGAAATATAAATTCCAGGGCTCGGCCCCGAATCAACCATTAGTAATTTTGATCTCGAACTGTGCGGACGTAAAATAACGAACGTACAGTTTCCTAACTGTATTGAAGAACTATCTTAGTTTAGTCTTAATTCTTCATATATTTAGTTTCTAGTTTTCTTACGCATATATA